ATTAACTGTTTTTGGTTTTTTAATGGTTTTTCTTGGTGATGAAAATTCCGATATCTCACGGTTATCGATTCTTTTTTTCTCTCCAGAAATGCGGACGACAGTGTTTTTAGATACTCCTGTGGCTGCAGCAACACGATCATTTACATTTTTAAATGGTATTGAAGGTGAATTAAAGTTTCCTTCTCTTCTCATAAACTCTATAACATTGGCTATTATTTCGCGAGATTGACTGTTAATCACGCGGCCTCTTAATTTGCTATTAAACTCCATACTTAGGTTCTATTAAACTGTAATGAGCAAAAAACACAAACGAAAATAAAAGAAATTTACATCTGACATTTACGTCTGAATAAAATAGTGAAATACTTGATGCGCAGAGTGTACTTTCATTGCGTAAATCCGTCGGGATGCCTGTCAGTAGTGCTTTCTCTGTCTAGCCGTCGAAAGCCTCTAGAAATTTGATGAACTGTAATAACATCGGATTAAAAAACATCGATAAAATCGAAACCTAAAAATCGATGTTTTTTAAACATCGATACATCGTGCGCATCCCTACCTTAGCCCGGGGTCAATTCTCGACTTTTATTCCCATGGGAAAATAAAATTTTCAGTTTTCGTATTCTCGACATAAGCGGTGGAATATTTTCCAATGAGAAGTATGGGAAAATATTCCCCTGCTTACGAGCATTGGAAATTGTGTTTTCCAATGGGAATTGTACTAGAGTTTGCGCATTAAAGTCAAAAATTTGACGAAAGACCACGCGAAAGTCTAAGACATAACCAAAGATTATTGGATATCTTGGATTTGTGAAATTGTAGTTAAAACATTTTTTTGGCGTATTTATAGATCGATATTATTTTATTTATGTAGGTATATTATTTTTAATTCTGTATAAACTGATTTTCCTAAATCATTTAGAAATTGTGGGAGCTGCTATTCGCTCCGTGCGCGACAGCAGCGCCAATTTGTTTTGGTATTAAAGGAGTATTTCTGCCTATACTGACAAATACAATTTTTAATAGAATTCGTAAATAAAAAGTATATATGTTAGTTTTAATAAAAGTATATGGATTTATAAAACAATTAAAACATTAATTTATTATTATTATATATTTTTCACGCTTAAATTGAAGAAAATTATGTATACTCATTAAAAATCAATAATAAAATATAGGCAGGCAACAGTATTTACTGGAAAATGTATGAGAAGTTGCCTAAGTCTAATAAGTTGTCATTTGTATAAAAAGGATCGCTACTTATATTTTCATTTTTGTTCTAAAGAAAACATAGAATGAATGATTAAAACTGGTTTCCGATCAGTAAGTCACAAAATTGCATACCAGCCAAATATTATAATCAACGGCAGAAATCTTGAAATCTAGTCCTTGCTGAATGAACATTTAAGAATAAAGGGATATTAAAGAACATCGTAAAATGATAATTTATTGTTTATTTAAAAACTTTCTAGTTTCTGATGTCTACTATTTCCAGCATTACTGTTATTATCACAAAAATAAAGGTAATTTTTCTTCTTATTGTACACCTATCCATTTATTTCTTTGATTTAATTTCCACTTTGTTAGTGAAATTTGTTATATAAGTTTCACTGGTTTTTTTTGCTAGTATTTGTACAATTTTCAACACAGCAACTCCGGTTGCTTATTGTGTTGTTTTTACCTACTTTTTTGAAAAAAAGTAAAATGTATACGTGTATTTGATATGCCAAAATTACAAAATATCCCCCTAAAATGCACGAATTATCCGCAGCTAGCGCTAGTATCGCTTTTGCTTCCCTTTCCATGACTTCGCACGGAGCGAATAAGGGACTGGCAAATAACACAAATTGAGTGTAGTAAATTTAATAAGACCTTTTCGAAAATCTTATTATTTTCGTTAATGAAAGAATTTCTTAGTTTCTCAAAACTTTCGTTGCTCTTCCATACAAAAGCTACCTTTTCTTTTTTCAACATGAGAAAAGAAAAACTAAGAATAACTTGACAAGTTTTAATTATTATACGTAATCGAATATTTTCACTTGTTTCTCGATCATGAAAGCGATTGCTCGGCACGGCACCTGCTCCAGCGCGGAGGCTCGGCAGGTAATCGGATACCCAAAAACCACAACAAATACAAATAATACCAACAGTAAATTTTAAAATATCTTTAATGTTATTGGTTGTTTCGAAATATTCGTGGACTTAATATCAGACATACGTGAAACTACTATTTCCATGGGAATGTCTATTCTGACACGTTCGAGAATTGCATAACCTATTACTATGGGAATATAAGTAGTGGAATATTTTCCCATTGGAAAATTTTCCAATGATCTCGAGAATCGAGTCCCAGGCCTGCACAACTCACATTTTCAAAGGGCCAGTTTGAGAAACCGTAAGTGAACGAGGGCCAAGAGACGCCTGAGCCTATAGTGGTCGTCTGTTCAGATTCAAAAAAAAAAGGGTCTACAGCTTATAATTTTTTATAAACCAATTCCTGCTGAAAAAAAAGGTCATCAGCCTAAATGCAAAAGTTTGTTACTTACTGTAATTTGACGGAGGCGGGCCAAACAGGTCGACTGCCAACGGGCCGCCAAAATGATAATGGCGTGCCGTATATTGTACAGGCCTGCCTTAGACAGATAAGCTTTTACTGCACTCTTCTTTTATTCAGACGTGAAGATCTGAAATAATCTCGAAGGGTGACTCTTTCACAATTACAATACTTCCCTTTTATCGAGGGAAAATGCAAACAATATCAATTTCATTGATAAAATTGTCTTGCTTAACGTTATTGAGGAATTAAAAACTTTTGGTAAAAGTCAAATGTCGATCTCCCAGTTATGGATTTTTGGTTGGTAATCTTCATAGAAAAAAGTATGGACATCACTGATAAATAAAGGCCATTTATTATATTATTATAATGAAGGTACAAACAAGGCTCAGATACCGCGATTTTATACATGTAAAATATTCGCTGATTCTGCTGATTTCTTATTTTGACCCAATTAATGCAGGTCATGTTAATAGTTCTAAATGTTTTTATTTTAAAATGTATACAATATTTAACTATTGAGATTTTTACATTTAAAATGATTATTAAAAAAGTATTTTGTTTTATAATATCACCGGCACACAAAAAAAGTTGTTTGTACATCAGACACGACCTACCTACCGGCATGTATTTTGACCCGCTGAATCCGAATTTCAAGTCAGTTTGGGCCGTCCACCCTTCAATATCGAGTAAATTTTAAAAATAGTAAAAATAAGATAATTAGTAATAAAAAAATTTATGAATCGAAACCAAGCATAATTCTTATTAGCCCAATCGGATTAGTATTTTAGATTCTGAAAAATTCGAAGCAGCAATTTTCCTTCGGAATTCGTTGGAGGGGGTCTCTGGTAGTCTAAATTCAAAAAGTTGGGATTCCAAAGTTGTCGTTACCTCCGCCATCTTAATTTAAAGGGTTATTTTTTGTATCTTGAATAACTCATTTATTTTCAATTTTACACGGAAAATAGTTTTTACAAAAGTTATTTAAAATTAAATTTCCTACAATTCTGCTTTTTTTTGTACGATCGATTTTTTTCGATTTATGCCCGAAAAGAGGGGGTGAATTTTTGGTTATAGAATAACTCGTTTATTTTCAATTTTACGAGAAAAATTGTTAAAAAAAAGTTGTTTAAAATTAAATTTCCTACAATTCTGCTTTTTTGTACGATTGATTTTTTTCGATTTAACCCGAAAAGAGGGGGTGAATTTTTGGTTATAGAATAACTCGTTTATTTTCAATTTTACGAGAAAAATTGTTATAAATAAATGTTGTTTAAAATTAAATTTCCTACAATTCTGCTTTTTTTTTGTACGATCGATTTTTTTCGATTTATACCCGAAAATAGGGGGTGAATTTTTGGTTATAGAATAACTCGTTTATTTTCAATTTTACGAGAAAAATTGTTATAAACAAAGTTGTTTAAAATTAAATTTCCTACAATTCTGTTTTTTTTTGTACGATCGATTTTTTTGTATTTATCCCTGAGAAGAGTGGGGGTGAACCTAAGTATTGTATTGTCACGTTTATTATTGATGTTGTACCATTATTTTTTCTGTTTGTTTTTTTTTTGCTGATTTTCAAAAATGTTATTTGGTACAACTATGATTCCGATTTTTTCTAAGAGTTTACCCCCACTCTTCTCAGGGATAAATACAAAAAAATCGAGCGTACAAAAAAAAACAGAATTGTAGGAAATTTAATTTTAAACAACTTTTTTTTAACAATTTTTCTCGTAAAATTGAAAATAAACGAGTTATTCTATAACCAAAAATTCACCCCCTCTTTACGGGTATAAATCGAAAAAAATCGATCGTACAAAAAAAAGCAGAATTGTAGGAAATTTAATTATAAATAACTTTTGTAAAAACTATTTTCCGTGTAAAATTGAAAATAAATGAGTTATTCAAGATACAAAAAATAACCCTTTAAATCAAGCTGGCGGAGGTAACGACAACTTTGGAATCCCAACTTTTTGAATTTAGACTACCACAGACCCCCTCCAACGAATTCCGAAGGAAAATTGCTGCTTCGAATTTTTCAGAATCTCAAGCCTGTTCTTCACCTAATCCGATTGGGCTATATGTATTTCGATCCGCTGAATACTGCGGAAGTCATTTGAGAACAAAAAAGTTTGATACCAACAAAAAACAGTTCAAAATCTGAGAAAATCTTTCGCCTCATCCAGTTCATACATCAGTTTTTAGAGATATTGCAAGGGTGGATATTGAAGGGTGGACGGCCCAAACTGACTTGAAATTGGGATTCAGCGGGTCCAAATACATGCCGGTAGGTAGGTCGTGTCTGATGTACAAACAACTTTTTTTTTGTGTGCCGGTGTATTCATTATTTTTATTCTCAGGTTTTTTTAAAATGTAATATTTATTATATTTGACGTAGAAATTTTTTATAATAGTGTTTTAATACATAGAAATTATCTTATTGTTACAGGTTAACTATCTGAATGACACCCACAAACAATTGATGGTGCATTGGGTCGGAGAGCAGAGTAAAGTAATTATATGTTTGGCTCGTGATCCGGCACCCATAATACCCGGATTTGCTACACTCTCATTGACGTCGACCGTTTTTATTTCTTACGACGATGGCGATAGCTACGAAAACAAAACTGACAAATTCAAGTTGGAAAATGGCGAATTCGCCACTCTGGAAAAGTTCTACAACCACCCGAAATTCAACACACATGTAAGTACTTAATTGATAATTTAGATTTTTATTAACGCTAAATGCACATGCAGGCCCGACGAGAGGGGGACAGGGGGGAAAAATCCCCGGGGCTCGGGCACAAGTGGGCCCCGGCAGCTTTAACAAAATAGGTTATAATTAGGGTTGCCAGATGTTTTAGGCGTAAATGCCACGCTTTTTAACTTGCTTGCACGTGTCACGCCAAATTACGAACATGACCCGCTTTTGACCGAAAAATACAAGCTGAGGAGCTGTTTCTTTTTTAGAAATGTCACCAAGAGAGGACCTGATTTTGCTTCCCTCTAATTGTTTCGTTGCCTGTGCGGTACAAAAGTATATAGGAACAAAAATGTTCAAAACGTATGAAAAAGTGTGCCTGTGTTTGAATTCAATTTTTTTTTTACATTTTAAAAGCATTTTAATAACACACTGTTAGAAGTTAAACGAATTAACTTCAAAATTATTCTTTTTAAATGATTTATCACCTTGTATAGCCACTTCACAAAACAGGTGTTATCATTGTTTTTGTAATGTGTTATTAAATATCTTGTAAATAACGTTTAAAATATAATTAGATAAGGAACAGAATAAATAATGTCGGCCATATTCCGTGGCGTAGCCAGGTGGTGGCCAGGGGGGTGCTTGCTCCCCCTCCCCCCGTTCCTTATGCTAGGCGCCCCTTGCCACTTGGCGCTTAGTGCCTATATTGACAATAAACAGTTAATTTTAATACACCCTGTAACATTAGAATTGAAAATTATTTGGAAATATATTTTTAAAAAACAAACACCGTATTTCAAATGCCTGAAATAATATTTTAAACTAAAATGTTATACAGGGTGGCGCATCTTATACGCGTCGGTCTTTGTAGGGAAAACGACTTGAAATTTGATTTTTTTTTTAATATATAGGGGCATTAAGACTACAAATTAAAAATAATTTGGATTATACAGGGTGACCCAAAAATAGGAATTTATATCAAAGTTATGTTTTTTTTTTTAAAGGGAACACCTTATATTTGATGGTGTCTTTTGATTCCCCGGAAAAATAAAGTTTCTGTAATGTTTCCTATACCTATCTCATTTAAAGGATTCTTAATTTGTAAGCTTGAACAACATAACCTAGTATGTCACGGTTATTTAAAACACATCAACAGTCACATGCGATATGCGTAGCCAAGATATTAGACTATCCAATAAAATGCAAATTTTTCCATTACATCATACAGGGTGTTCATTTAGTCTAATTGAATTCGACTTACATATGGAGTTGAATAATATTCCTATTTTAAATGGCACACCCTGTATTTAATAACAAACTGATAGACATTTAAATTATCTTTCATTCCATATAAGATTTCCCTAGACCTAGATTCGATTGATCTTTAGTAAATAGCTGTTTTTTATTTTTAACCTACGGATTTTATCATATTATTTTTTAATCATAGTAACCATAGAGCAAATATCACTCAAAATATAGTATTGAACGAAATAAACATTTTTATCACTTTTCAATGTTAAATAATTTCAATGTAAACCAAAACCTATAATTTTTTTAATAAAAAAAAATTATTTAATGACAAGAAAATTTGAATTATTTGAAAACTACACACAAATGAAAAAGAGTAAGAAACAAATTGAAAACAAAACAAAAAATTAATTATAAAAAATGTTCAAAGTGACGCCCATCTTGTTCTAAACACAACTGAACTCGTTTTTCAAAGGATCGTTTCACTTTGAGAATAATTTCTCCAGTTACTGTCTGAAAAGCAGCTCTTATTCTAGCTTTCATATCTTCCGGAGTAGTTGGTGGGGTGTTATAAACTATACTTTGTATGTATCCCCATAAAAAAATCCAACGACGTCAAGTCTGGAGGTCTTGGAGGCCATTTATTAACAAAACGCCGGTTTAAGTATCGCCGTACTCGAAAGTGAAAATGTGCGGGGGCTCATCCAACTGTATCCACATTTTCTGCCTAGTATTTAAAGGTACATTATCAAGGAGTCCAGATAATTTTCTCCGCAAAAATTTTAGAAATTTTCTGCCATTAAGATGACCGGTAAAAAAATAAGGACCAATAACATGTAAACCTAATATTCCTCCCCACACATTCCCCCCACATATTCTGATGATCGAGAGTACGAAAGACGTGAGGAGTTTCATTACTATAATAATGAAAGTTATGGCGCTTAACGAGTCTATTATTATGAAAAGTGCACTTGTCCGAAAACAGAACATTATCAAAAAAATCCGCATCTGATTCTACTTTATCCATAACCATTTTTTTATAATCTACGTTTCCGCTAACTTTAAACTGTGTAGTAATCTTTCAAAAGCACGTCTGTCAGGTTTCTCTGGAATCTGGGTATTTTTGGCCGTAAACTCTAGAAGCCAATAAACAGTTTTCATGACACTCACCAAGAACAAGCACGTGTCAATTCTCTCTGCTTTAGAATAAGTTTTTATGTTTCAAATTCGATTTTTCGTACATTTGATATCTAACTTACTAAATAGAAATGTCAAATTCGCATTTGACATTTAAATTGAATGGTCACTTTGACAGGAAAGAGTATTTACAAAAATTAGCTATATTAAACATAAAAACAGATATTTACTAAAAAACCGTTGAATTTAGGTGTAGGGATTAAATTTAGGGACAGGGAAATCTTATATGGAATGAAAGATAATTTAAATGTCTATCAGTTTAAGTTATTAAATACAGGGCCCTGTATATCCCTATTAAGAACAAAAATTCAAATTTTAAGTCGTTTTCCCTACAGAGACCGACGCGTATAGGATGCGCCACCCTGTATATATTTATTTATTTAGTCCAGAATTAAAGTAAAAGAACTACTTTTATTTTATGAGGTCGTAAATCATAATGAATGATATATTTAAAAGCAATGCGTGATGCGGCAGTGGCTGCGTTTGAGTCGGGTCGGCAAGCGTTGATTGTATTACCGATGCCAAAATGTATTTTTTGTTTACATCTGCCTATTCAAGACATTCAAGAAAATTATGACAAAAAATAAGTCTAAAAAAAATGTCATTGACTCGTTGGGCAAGTCACACTAGAGTTGTTAATTCCATATGTGTCAATCTCCCCGCCATAATAGAGATTATGGGAAACATCTCATCTGGTGAAAATTTGAGTACAAATGATTGATGCTCGTGGAATTTAAACATATATAAAAATTTTTGAATTTGTATACCTTCTTTGCTTTTGGAAACAAACACTTTTAGTTATTCAAATTCTAATTACGAAAAATTAACTTTGTGAGAAAGACAGCAATGGACTTTTTGTACCACATTCCTAAGTAATCCCTACATTCACGTATGGCTCCCCTCACTATTAATCATCCGTGATTCAAGGGGCATCCTGTATATATTATAGAAACCATTTATTTCTAATAGGTACCCATTATTTTCTTGAAAATTACCCACTCCTCTGATCTAAAGCGTTGTTATTTATTTTTTCAAAAGCAAAGGGAACCCACATATTTATTGAACATTATACAAGAAAAAATTTATTTGCAGGCCCTCATGACAGCAGTTTCGTAATAATGATAACCATAATTAAAAACCGGTTAAAGAAGTATAGATTCTATTTCCAATTCATAGACTAAATGCAATTTTATTACTTTAGTTTCTAGGAAAATACGTGAAAAATACCCATTTAAATGATTACTGTATTAGCGGTCAAACTGGTATAATACGTTTCATTGCACAATAAATATAAATTAGTATGTTATATGCTGCGGTATTACTAAATTTTTATAGAAAAATATTGTTGGTTTTTCTTATAGGTACATACAGAATATTTCATTGGGAAAAGCAAACACGTTCAGTGGCGCAGCCAGAATTTGTTCATGGGAGGGGTTTCTGATGGGGGGTGGAGGTTCCATTAACTAAGTAAAATATTTCAGATAAAATTGTTTTGCAAATAAAAATTAATAATTTTTTATAAAACAATAATTAAAATTGAATAAATAAACAGTTTATAGCGATCAGCACCAATACGATGACCCCCCAAAACCCTCCCCGTGTCTACGCCACTGTACACGTTACACTGTGAATGTATGCCACCGAGGTGCTTCCAAATAATCCATACTTAATGAGTACCGAGATACAGGGTGTTATTGCTTTCTTAACTTGTAACTTACCATATTATATGTTTTTGAAATTTGACACACCGATACTAAGGTAAAAATAAGAAACGAAATCCAGGCCCGTCTTTATGAAAAATTAATAAATTTTTACATCCTCAAAATCTCTTTCTAAATTAATTTTTTTTTCATATTTAAAAATAGCACAAAAAACTGAATCTAATGCTTTTTATTTTTGCCCATAAAAAAATAATTGCCCAATATGTTCGAAAATAATAGTAGTGAATATGGACAATCCACTCGAGTTGTACAGTATATTTTTTCTACGATCCATCAACGAAAATCTTCAAATTAAAAAAAAAATATTTTAGGTTATTAAGACAAAATAACGAATTTTAAAACAATTTGTGACTTTTACTAATTTATAAAATAAAATAAACTTCAAATAAATAAAAAAGGTTTTATTTAATTAGTCTCCAGTCCAGATTTGATCCCGGGCCTCTCGCATGGCAACCATTGATATTACTTTTGCCAAAAATCAAGTACATGGTTTTGAAGTAATCCTTAAAAAATTATTTTATTTTGTGGTTCTCACTATAAAACACCTTGTATAAGAAATGCGTATTGGGCAATATTTGATCGACATATTGAGTAGTAGTTTTTGAAAATATGCTTCCCTGATGTCACAATAGAATTAGTGAGATTTTGCATACATTTGTGAATCACCCTGTAATTACAAATATTTTTAATTGCACGTATGCAATAATATATTACAAAAACATATGTAAGTGTGTTACAGAAATCCAACCTAACTCGAAAGTTGGAAAATAAAATTCCGAAACATTGGAAATCTTCATCTTTTTTCAGTATATCGTACAAATACGATAGTTATCG